TCTCTAATAGATCTATGTATATTGCAGTCTTAAATGATATCTAAAGTTTTACTCTATTTTGTATGTTCCCTTATGGAATAAGATACTTACTGGTTAAGGACATTTTTAATCTCCTCAAAAAAAAAAAATTGAAAATAAATAAATTCAGGATAGCTATAGCTATATAGCCATTTTAATTATAATTACTGCCCTTTCATTTTGATAACAATCACTGAAATGAGTTTGCTGAGATAACAATATTTGATAAGAAAAACTTGCTACAATGACATATCATATTGTTAAAATTCATCAAACAGAATAGAAAATCTACGAACCTTGTTACCAGATAACTAGATCTCTTTAAAATAACAATAAGCAATATTGCTATGTTCAAACAGAATCGACATGATTGACAAAAATGTAATCGTTTACCTTACGGCTCCTTATCGTTTCTCCCGTATTATTAACAGCATCTTTAGCTCCTTTTGCGTTCACCCTGTCTATGAAAATGGTACCCCACAACCACGACGCCAACCCGAAAGGTTGCATGTAGAAAATTTCTTTCTTGGATATAACGGTACAGTTGTCCATTACTGGCCACAGACAGGCTAACACTGAAAAATGTAAATTTTGTAATTAACAGACTAGAATAAATAAATATTAAATACTATTCTCAATACGACCAAGTGATTTTTGTCTATTTACGTTTACGGTGAACGTTCTTAAGGATGGACATTGTTAAAATGATTTGGTCACACAGGTCGAAGATCAAAGTACGGTTAATTAAACAGTTAAATAGGTTCTCGATTCTAGATTAGATATGAAGAACAATAGGGACAATGGGGGCTTTTTAAATATATAGGCATTTACAAAACTTACCTATTAAGTCTAGCATACTTTGATGATTTATTAATACCACACATCCACTATTTTTTACTACATTTTCTAAACCTTCTACGCTATGAGTTAATCCTAGAAATCTGCAACACGCCCTAAGACCAGCGGCTGGCATCCTAAAAAAATCCATACTAATTATTACTGTATTGGACCTTTTATAAACAGTTACGCAAGAGGACAAATGGACCAAAAAGGGAAAGATACGAAAAAAGTCATTCTTGATAAAAAAGTATTTGTTTGTTTAGAAAATATGAATCACCATGACGAACCTCAATTTTGTTATACAAGTTGGGTCAAAAACACAAAAATGATATTTTGCGTAAGAGTAAACATTCCTTATTTTGCAAGATATGAAAAAAAAGCATTCTTGATAAAAGTTTTTGCTTGAAAAATGAATGAGTGTCACGTTATCAAAAATTTAATTTTTTATACAGTGAACAAAGTACAATACTAAAATACATCTTTTTCAAGTGTACCTAATACGAACATAATTATAACAACAATTAAGCTAAAATAAAGTAAACAAAGCAATATGTTGAAGATATACAATTTCAAAAACACCACCCCTATATATAGTGTGTTCCGTTTTCAGGTTAACACACAAGAAGAGTGTGGACTTTACGCAAGCCAATTTTTTTACAAATAGTACCCTGATGGGAAGTTATATTCTAATCATTTTATTGATGTGACAAAATCCTGGCTTACTAAATTTTTTTAAAAGGGTCGTTTTTCCAGAAAGTAGTATTAAGCACTTTTTATCAAAAAGATAATATTATCAGGCTATTCAACACCCATCAAAATACCCATATACCAAATTTGAACGACAAATGTCTATGGAGTGTTTTCTTATGTGGTGCCAAACAAATCAGACAACTAAAAATTATACCTGGTAAGCAGGTCAAAGATTGCCATGAAAGTAAAAACAAGTACCAATCGGACAAAGAAAAAAACAACCACTATAAATGTAAAACTTTTAATTATATTAATTAATTGTCTCATTTCTGTGGTGTGTTTTATGTTTTATGTTTAATTATAAAAATAATAATTTACAAAAAATGTTATGAATTATAAATACTAAGTTGTTAAACAAAAAAATTGCAAAACGTTAATCTAAATTTTTTTTATAATTTAAAGTTTTAGTTTTCTCCACCAAACCTCCTTCCACTCGAACACATTTTTCCAACACTCTTCTTAAATTTAAAAATAATTTACATAGCTGTTGTGGAGTAATCTCTGCACAAGCTTATCTTATGCAAGTCAATAGGTCATCCAAATTCCTTGGTCTATTTTTACAAATTCTTCGTTTTATAAAACCCCAAAAGTAAAAGTCCATAGTTCGAGAAAACTAAAATTTAATTTAGATTGTTTTGCAATTTTTTGTTTAACAACTTAATATTTATAAATCCTTACCTACATTTTTTGTACGTTAATTATTGTGGCCGCAATTAAAAGTGTTAAATTTATAGTGTCTGTACTTTTTGACCTGCTTATTATAATTTTCAGTTGTCTGATTTTTCGAAGTTTGACACCACATAAAAAATACTCAATAAAGATTTGTCGTTCAAATTTGGTATATGGGTATTGTGATGAGTGTTAAATAGCCTGGTAATATTATCTTTTTGATAAAAAAAGTGCCTGATACCACTGTCTGGAAAAACGACCCCTTTAAAAAATAGTAGTAGGCCAGGCTTTTGTAACATCAATAAAATGATTTGTCAACAGCCTTCTCACATTTTCAGAGGTATTCAGCTGAAAAACGGGACACACTGTATATGAACACATTATTCTAATTACTTCCTTAGCGAAAACTTTTATTAAGAATGCCTTTTTTCATATCTTTCACTTTTTGGTCTTCTTGTAAACTCAATCCGCGGACATGAATACTAATGTGCTATTTTTTTAATAGTACTTTTTATACGGAAAAAAACTGAAAATTCCACATTCATATTGCAACTATTTTTTTCAATTGTGAAATTATTACCTACAATTTACAGATTTTATCACATTTTATACAATATTGTATAGTTTAGCATAACTTTTTGTATACAATTGTGTGAATTTCCATAACAATGTTTTCTGCTGCATAATGCAGGTAAAGAAGATATTCAATTAAAGAAAATTGTACTGTAAAAAACTAAAAATGATCTCGATGTGTCAGGATTCCTTTTAAACAAATCGCAGAGCCTCAAGATCTGCCCAGGGCATTGATCTAGAACAATCTGTATCAGAATTTTCACGAGTTAAATGGAAATGTTGGTATTATCAGTTATTTCAAAGATTTCTTGTAAAATTAATAATATAAAATAGTAAGGTTTTTTTTCGCAAAACCATCATTTTTTCCCAAATGTCATGTATACAATAATAAATCAGATACGAAACTCTCGAAAGCCCTGAATATAAAAATTAAATTCATTCAATAAATTTAAGGACTACATAAAATACTGTTATTTCAATGTTATCTATAATAATATTTAGCTGTTAATTATTACAGCATGGCCGTAAAATATTTTTATCTCAACCAGGTATCAACAATAAACATGAAAATATTAACAATGTATACTTTATACACGGATATTAAGTAATTTAAATACTTATTTATGTAGTTTGTATGTATTTGTGTAATTTAGGAAACCTATACTATAAAAAAATATATATATATTCCAAAAAGTATATTTATGATGTTTTAGCCTGCAACTGCAATTACATATTTTTCAAAAATGTGTTTATTTCATATGACTATTAATTTGTTGCCTAAAAAGTTAATCGTTAATTTGTGTATAAACAAAAATATACAATGGACTTGAAAACGTTGATCTTATCTTTGAGATAGTTATTGTTGTTGAACTTTGTAGTAAAATACTTATTATTTAGGTTATTTCATATAAATCTACTAGATAGTGATATTATCTAAACATTCTAATTAAATAGCTGAAGGTTCTGGTTGAGAATTGAGTCTTTCTTAAAAAAATTATAAAATAAAGAATATGCAAGTTATTGTGGTAATTATTTAGAACGACGTTAGTGAATTTATACGCTTTCAAGAAGAACAATTGTGTTCTATTCAAGATTTTTATTAAAAAAAGATGTAGGCGCATTTAGGGAAAGTATAAAATTCCAAAAAAATTTATTAAGAATTTGACGTTTGTTTGTCTTCATTAAGTTTTTCGAATACGTGGTTAAAATTAATGATATTATGACTGAATTACCCTGTTTAATCCTGACCAATTATTAGTTACGTAGTTTTTGTAAATTCATAAGCAAAAATAGAGTTTTTGTATAACGAAGAAATTGTTATTTCTACAAAGACTGAAAACTCCTTTTATTTCAGATAATTTAAATCATATTACAGATTCCTCGAAATCATAGACAAAGGGACACTAAACAATGATAATTTTTATAAAAAGGAAAATTTTAATTATATTTTAAATCTCAAATATACTTGATAGGTGATATGATATCTTTATTGTCCGAACAGTTAAAATTATATACTTGTCCTAAAGAAAGATATCCATATTTTGCCTATTTGTGATAATTTTTCATTGAATTTTTAATATGTAAGCAGCGTAGATTTTATCATTGACGTGACGTCACGCTTTCAACTTGAAGGACTTGTTAATCTAGAATATCTAGAGAGTAATGGCTAAGTTTACATTTCCTTTTTCAAATCATATCATAAACTAGAAAAAACTCAACCCAACCTCCATTATTGTGTATACATATATTTTTATTTTTTTATTCAATTTTCTATTGGAGTCAGGTTAAGTTTTGTTTTTAATTTATTTGTAACACATTTAGATCAGATCAATTTACCTACACCCGCTGTTTAACATTAATAAGATAAATATTTCAAATTATTTAAATTTCAAATTTAACGTTATAATGAAACATCTTCAAGGGTTTATTGCTAGTTTTTTCGAATTTTTTTCAGAAAATAATTAATGATATAGTATTCTAGTACTTCTCTACTCTAGTATTTTGAATTTTGCAGACGCAGAATGTTATCCTAAATTCTAAATAATTTCCAAAAATTCTTGAATGAGAATCGAGTTTTTCTTTAAAAAGTTCTTGAACAAATGTTTTGGTATTCCTGTTTCTAATAAAGGCATAATATGAATTTATAAAAAATTCAATATTTTTATAGTAGTACCGAGTAGTATAAACAAGAATGGTGAATATTTGTTAGAGTAGAACAATTTAAAAAATTTGGAAGATTACATTAAAAAGTCGGTCTAAATTTAATAGTAAACTATTATTTAGCGACTAAAACTTTTGCAATTAGGTTTTTTACCTAATAAATATTACTTACAGTGCATTTCTGCTGTCTCTGGGCTTCAGCAACATTATGGGGATTGGTCCACAAGCAGAGAATAAACTAGTAAGTCCAAACACCAGAAATTTTATCCAGTACCTCGCCACCGAACTGATTTTCCACAAAACCGCTAGTAACGCGACTAGTACTAATGTATACAACAACACACCCATTTCTGGAAAGAAAAAAATAGTACCTAGTTAGTACTCTGTGACAAACTTTTAAATGACAATTCTCGTTTTATATCGCCATGGTTATGGTGTCAATTTAGATGTGTATATATAACAGTAAAGCAACCAAAGCTTACCAAGGTAATAAAATGCTAATTGATTTTTAGGAAGCTATAACGTACAAATACAACTGTATCGAATACATACTACTTTTTTATCTTCATACAGTCAGAACTATTGTCAGTATTTTGTTTTTGGTATACCTCATCAATATTGCACGAATTATTCCTTCAATTTTGATCGGCTACAAATGTTATTGCAACAAGGTGTATATAAATAATAATTAAAAACACTAGTTCTAAAGTAAAAAGTTAACATTTGTTATATCTAAGGAAATCAATGTAATCATTTGAACTCTGGAATCTACGATCTGATATCAGATGAATCGGTAACAGGTGGGTAAATTTAGTAAATATAATAATAATAATTGGAATCTACGATCTGATATCAGATGAATCGGTAACAGGTGGGTAAATTTAGTAAATGAGAGCATCTAATTTCTGATAAATGTTTTGAAATGCATAAACACAAGCAATCGAAAAATTAAAAATTTAACATATGAAAATTATATCAATTATTCACAATTCTGTCAAACATTTTAACACAAATTAGTTCACACACATTGTCTAAATTTCATTCAACGCTAATTTAGGACACACAATACACATTCTTATACTTTCACTTAGTAGTACTATCCGTAGTAATTCAAAATACTGATATAATTATTGATCAGCTGAATTCCTTACAGTAATTTACCAAACACGTTTGGACTTGCTATGTAAAATGATTTTTATTTACTCATAAACAAAGTTGAGGATGGGTTTAACACAAATGGATTTTATAACATTCAATAATTTTTTTTATGAACAGGTATTACCTATGCGTTCGTTTTAAACTAAACCCATGATTATTATATAAATAATGTTAGTTATAGGTGTGAAATATGAAAATAATCAAAATAGTGCACATTAAAATGCCCGGTTCTGTGTTTGTTATGGTTGGTGAATTTAAAGTACCGTTATTATAACGAACGTTCAAATAAAAACGTCGAAGTTGGCTCTGACACATTGGACGTAGGGAGTAGCTTATAGCGACCAACTTAACCTCATTTTTCAACGAGCTGTATAGCAGCTGTCAGTTTCAATAACGTTAATGACTATATAACTTTATTTTAAAGAGTAATCGTGATAACAATAACAAACAATTAAAGGAGCTGCGGAAAGTGTCCCCCTCCTTGTTATAACACTTAAATGAAACCAGGCTTCATCAGAAAAAAAGGTGATATTATGTTCACCGTAGTTGTTTAAAAACCATTCACAAAATACAGCCCGTCGCGGAAAATCAACTTCATGAAGTTCTTGCTGACAAGTTAAACGATAGGAGAACAAACGCAAATCTTTTTTAACACTGTGTGGCAGGTACCGACTGATACTCCCACCATTTGTGATAAAACACGTACAGAAGTTCTTGGCGCATTTTCCATTATTTGTTGGACATTTTCTTTTAATTCTTCAGTCCGCTTTTTAGGTCGGCCGCTTCCTTCTTTTCTTGTTACACTGCCCGTTTCACGAAAAACATTAACACAACGCTGAACTGCACTTTGAAAAATTTTGTACTCAACAACGCCGGGAAATTGATTTTGAAATTCTATGAAACATACCTCAATAGAATACTTCCATATTCCATCAATCTTGCGTCCATTTCTAAAGTAGGACTCTATGATAAACACTTTTTGTTCTTGAGAAAACACCATTTTAAACGCTTTTTAAAACGAAAATATTCAAATTGATAGCGGCGATATAGCGCTTTGACAGATGACGTTTAAGTTCATTTGCTATACGCTACGCCCTACGTCCAAATTTTCAGAACCAACTTGACCACATTTTTATTTGAACGCTCGTTACAATGATCGTTATGTTTCTTCAAAAAAAAAAAAAAAATTGTTTACTCTCGACAATAAAATAGGCAAATATTTGTCGACAGAATTTCCATTCCTCAACGACAATACGGGAATGTGGATCAAATCGAAATAATCGACAAATTGAGCTTTTTAATAATGTGCAACGCTATTTTATTAGTCACGAATCAAAATGACAAACTTATAAAACAGGTAAACATATTACAAACGAAGAATGTGAGTTGAACATTGGTCTGTAAATTTGGTTCTTAATGGTTACATTTTCTGCAAACAAATTTTTGTGTTCAAAAAATCATCAAAGGATAAATTTTAAGGTAAAACTATAGCAAATAAGTTGTAGTATAGTCTTTCCGAAGCCAGTTGAACATGTATAAAAACGCCTAGCAATAAAATTTAATGAGTTTCATGGGCGTCCCTAAAACGTTTTCTACTAAATGTAAAAAATTATAATAATTTCTATACAATGTGTAGAAAATTTCTATTGTATGTTCATTTGGCCAACCACATATTTTAATAATTTATGTCCTCAAACAATTTTATTATATTGATGGTAAATTTCGTTTTGTTCCGTTTCAAAAGGTCTCCAAAATACCATGTTGTAATAATATTAGTAAATAAAATATCCCTCTTATTTCTCCCTTTCGCAATTGTAATATGAATGATTAATAGAGGGTGCCTATAATAAATTAAAGTTACCTGAATAACACCAAATTCTGCATTGCTGTCACTTGTCTACAACTGAGATTTATTGCCCAGTCGCCCAGTGCGGCTGTGTTATACGCCGTTTGCCCGTGCGCGCATTCTTCAACTGGACGTATACATTTCTACCACTTCCACGTTTAGTTCGACCAGACTTGTAAATGGGTATGGCTAAATAAATATGGGAACAAGTTTTTCAAATATTTCAATGCCGCGTCAGCGACGGAAACTGGTACATACTTCGTTGTTCAATTGAGATCGGAAAGACTATAAGTATTAGTGATTTTATATAATTTTTATTCATTATTTATATAAAGGGTATCCCAAAATTCACGCAATAAGTAATTTTGAGAGAAAACATAGGTTTTTAATTAAAAATTGTAAGTTTTTTATTGATTTATAAATCACCTTTGCTGGAACATAGACATACGGTTGAATTTCATTGATACATCGCTCAATTTCCTTCTTCAAGGCGTGGGTCGTAGTGGGCTTGTTGACAAAAACCTTTGACTTCAAAAAACTCCAAAGGAAGAAGCCCAACAGCGTTAAGTCGCATGATATGAGTGGACAATTCTGATCACCAAAACGGGAAATTACACGACCAGAAAATCACTCATGCAGTAATTGAATTGTTTCTCGCGCTGTACGATATCGTCTTGTTGAAATGTCGTCTACATCGATACAATTAAGGCACAAAAAACTTGATTATCATGTCTCGATAGCGAACAGCATTAACTGTTATTACCTGACCAGCTGCATTTTCTAAGAAGAATGGTCCAATGATGCCACCAGCCCAAAATCCGTACCAAACAGTGATACGTTGTGGATGCATTTGTTTCTAAACCAAGAATGCGACAATTTTGTGGATTAACAAAGCCATCAAGATGAAAATGGGCATCATCGCTGAAGATGATTTTATTCGAAAATTCAGCATCTACTTGTTGTTCCACAATCCATTCAACGAACTCTCTTCGCTTTACGTGGTCAGTTGTTCTTGAGTCGATTGAACTTTATAAGCATGAAGATGTAAATCTTTCGTGAGAATACGCTGTCGAGAGCTTCTCGAAATGTCCAATTCTTGACCACGGTACCTAATTGATGTTCTTGGTTCAGCAACACTCTCGCGAACTGTTTCGATGTTTTGTATTGAACGACTTATTGAAGAACGGCCACAGTGTTTAAGATCACTAATTGATCCAATCTCCGTGAAACCTGCAAAACCTTCATTATTTTTAAAATTTACCCAACAATGAAAACGCGTTGTTCTTTCGTGTAGCGCTCCATTTTTAATAACCCGGAACTGTCAGCTATCACACTGTCTTTTTTTCCGTTGGCAACACTTTTCCGCACAAATTGCGCAAATTTCAAATCTTGCATGAATTTTTGAACACCCAACATTTATGAAATTGATATGGTGAGTTTCTATAAATGTATTCAGTAAAATAAGAGGGGTACAGTTAAATTTTGTTGTAGACATGATCTACAGGAAAAAGGTTTAGGTACTACATTGAATTTTGCATGAGGCTATGAAAATTACCTATAAATTGAGATTTTTGGCGATAAAAGTATTGTCTTTAAGGTGGCCATATCCCTGGCCGAGAAATAGTCAAATTTTTAGGTACTGAAATCTTGAAAAGTAAAACGTGTAGAACAAAAATAAGCACAAAAATAAAATCCTTGATGTTCTGTTTATTCATTGTTACTATTTAAATTTACTCAAATAAAATAATAACTAAAAAAACCGTTTGTAAAACATGCGTTTGCTGTTATCCTAACCCCGCATTTTAACAATTATTTTCACGTACTTATAAATAAAAGAAAACAATTTTATATGTAGGACTAAGCAAGTAAATATTATAAGAATATTTACGTGTAGAGGTATATATAAAAAAATTTGTATTTTCGTAGATTTCAGTACCTAAAATCTTGATGATTTGATCGTTTTTGCACCTGTTTATTCGTTTTACTGCGGCGTCTTTGAAAATATTCAGGTGGCATGACATAACATTCCTATTATTTGATAAGCTTTAGATTAATCGGTTATTAAATGTTTGAAATTATTTGTCTTTGTGGAAAACACTTAATAATATTTGTTTGTATCACAATTATAATCATTTACCCAATTCCCATATCAGTTGTTCTAAACACACCAAACTTTCAAGTGATACTATATCGTTTATTACGTTTTGTTTGAATGAAAAATAAAAATTAAACATTTGACCGTAATCTACCTTTATCATTTTATCAATGTGGACCAACGCAGATATTGTTTAACACTACACTTATCTTTAAATACACCACATACTCGTACACGCAACGGCAAAGCTT